GTGTGTGTGTGTGTGTGTGTGTGTGTGTGTGTGTGTGTGTGTGTGTGAGAGAGAGAGAGAAACAGCAAAGACGAGCCCATAGCAGCTTACCCAATCAGACATTAGATCATTTGATGGTTTTTCTCTGCGGTTTGCTCTCTGCATGGCTTTCTGCCAGCGTAAGTGATCTCATGGAATGTACACGGGATTCTTCTTCTTCTTCAAGAAAACATTTTGCCGAGCTCTGCACTCGACCGCTCTCCCGCCCAGACAGGAGTCTCTGCATGGGTCCATTTGAATGAATTTTTATGGATACCTTTTTTTGAAATGTACATCGTGGGATTTCGCTGACTGGATCGATGCCGTACTGAAAGGTGAAGGAAAATGCGGGTGCCGTCGTTAATTTGGTTTCTGCACTTCATGAATCTCACGAAAGGCCTGGATGGCACAAGACGTAAGTATTCATGCATAACTTGTCACTCCCACCTCTCTTAATACTGTTGTTAGACATGGCTCCCGTGAAATGTGTCTTATCTTTCCCCCTTTTCCAGTGGGAGGAAGTAAATAGTAGACAGACACTACATATGGAGACAATAAATGTGTTCTTTCAGTGGAAAATGGGGTCATATACGTATCTCCATGGCTTTTACCCACTTGCACACTATGAATTTGAAACGCTTGGCTCATGTGTATCGGCCTTGCTCTCATAAAACCCCGTTGCCTGTAAAGTTTCATAGCGTAAATTGAGCACACTTGAGTTTGTTTTGTTTTTGCACAAGCACAGGAAGACTATACAACTCTTTTGTAGTCATAGCATATCTGGAACCCCGTTATCCACAGGCAGTTCCTCCGTGAGCAGACTCTGTCCGGCAGGTTGTGCGACATGCTCTGCCCCGAATGGCTGTCTGTCCTGCAAACCTCGCCTCTTCTTCCACTTGGAGATGGACGGGATGCGGCAGAGGGGCACCTGTGTGTCCTCGTGTCCCCGGGGTCACTACGGCATGCGCTCTCCACACATCAGCACCTGCGCAAGTAGGTACCAATGGGCACATGTAGGAATGATAGAAAAGGTGTTTTTGTGGCAGTGTTGAGAGAATAAAACAAACCACAATGGTCACTCTACGCTGACCACAAGTTCATTTCCACTGGCCTGCAGGGTGCAAGGACGACTGCTCTTCCTGTTTCAGTGAAAACTTCTGCACACATTGCCACCCCGGTCACTTCCTGTTCCGGGGCAAATGTGAGAACAGCTGTCCAGATGGGCTGACGGCAAACACAGTGCTGCGAGAATGCACAGGTGAGCCACCGTCCAGCATGATACTCATGCAGGCTGTGTGTACAATGTGTGTTTGTGTGTCTTTGTGCATGCAATAAGGTCCATGATGTCGTGGGATCTACAGAACAGATGTTTGTGTCCCTCTGTCTCAGAGTGCTCTATAGACTGTGAGATGTGTGTGAGGAGCACCGTGTGTGTGAGCTGTAGAGCAGACCTCTACCTTCTCCACGGTCAGTGCCAACTCACCTGCCCGACGGGATTTGAGCCCGACGTGCAGCTTATGCAATGCATCCCCCAAGGTGAGAGAAATTCACTTTCACCAACTGTTTCCACACAGTTAAGAAGTTGAATACACTGAATGCGTTCCAAATCGTATACTTTTTCTTTTTTTTTACTTTTAGTTCATCCTTCTGCTTCCCCTACAAAGTGCGTACTGTTGCATATTCAATCGGGACATATTTGAAGTTTAACCCTCTTGCTCATATATCCGCTGTGCAGAGGTTTGTGGGTCAGAACAGCCAGAAAAGCGACCGGATGCAGACATCCTGGTGTTTTTTTGCTTACTTCACTTGACATACTAAATATTTTTCTGACATACTGTAAAGTATGGTAGTATTGGTACTGGAACGCACAAGGTCTTAAGTTTTAATCTCTCGCTACCTATGAGTACTTTGTCATCATCATCGTCATCTCTCTCCTCATAGTGCACTGTGAGGTTGGGGGATGGACAGATTGGGGTCCATGTGTTCGCAAAAGGAGCACGCAGGCCTCCAGGAGGGGACAGGAGACACGTGACCGACAAGTTCTGAGGTCTCCGAGTGTCCACGGGGATGCCTGCCCACACATGTCAGAGAGCAGGAAGTGTGCCATCAAAAAGAGACCAGAGTAGGTTGTTATAAGTGAGGGAGCGGATTATAGACTGTTTGTTTATATTGCAGAGATATTCAACTTGTTATCGCACATTTTACAATGTTTAAACTAATGTAAATTGTAAAGGTGTATTAATCGAAAAGATTTATCTATGCAATCCAAAATAAATTAATAAACCGGACGGATGGATCTGATGTTCTTTTATACAGTTATTGTGTATCTATAAAGTCAACACTTTCGCTGCATCGCTTGAGCTTATGTGGACTTCAGCTGAATCAGACATTTCATATGAATTCCAGTTCTGTGCTAAATTGATGCCACTTGTGGCCAACCATTGTAAAATAACTTACTGATTGCCTAACTTGACTGATCAGTTTGTCTTATTGAAAGTTTTTGAGGACACCTGTGCTGTTTCTACTACAACCATACATTAATTACTGTAATAAGGCAAAGTGAGATATTTTAATTAGTATGCATTAAAGTCAAAACCGCTCGGATGATACACCTCTGCACATTAACTACAAGACCACCAAATGTTAACAGAATGTAAAATGATATAATATTAATGTATAAATATTTTTGTAAAAAATAAATAAAAAATCATGTAGTACGAATATTGTCTGTATATATATATATATTATATATTATTTCTATATATTAATATGGTAATAATATAATTATAAATGTTATTTATATTAGTCATATTATATTAATTTATGATATTATAATATATTAATTATACATTATACAATATTTTTGTTAAAAACATGCGATTATTATTTATATATTGTATGTCTGAATAATTTTGATTCGATATTGTGCAACCCAATGATCGATATAAACATGACAACACACCAATACATGAAATAATTAATTGATATACACCACAGACTTTTATACAGTCTCGTGTATGTATATCAGGACTCTCCACGCGTGGACCCTGACGCCCGTCACGTGCTGCGCTCAGCTGCACTGATGTTAGATCTGCACAACATGTAGAGGACATTGTAGACGGTGTGAGGTCCGTCCAGGAGCTCTGAAGTCAGTTTGGCCCAACGGCTGGGACAAGCGTCCGAACAACAACGCAGTTATCGCTTTGACGTACTTCACTATATAACCAACATTTAAATGCTGCTGTTTACATTTATGTATCTGCACTTCTGCTGAGGACGCTTCTAGAGTCACCTCAGTGTCCAGGTGAGTGTGTTATTAATTGTGAAGTTAAATAAGCCTGTAAGCGCACTGACGGCTAACATGCTACATATGCTAAAGCAGCTGTCAAGTTAGCATTGGTTAAGTGACTGTTAGCTTGACGTTTACCTCACAGTATCTTTAGTAATAGTGTTGTATCGCATTTAACAGACGAGACTCTAACGTCCCCTGCTGGGAATATAAGCTTGCTTTTTATTTATTTAAAGCAACTAACAAATTAGCTAAAGCTAGCTTAGCAGTAGTTTGGTTAGCTCTGTTAGACGGGCGGAAAAGAGGCCTTTGATATAACTCGTAATGAAGTGTAAATTCAGGGATGTCAGCCTGTCCCCGAAGTCACATTTCTTAAACACGTTTAATTTGCAAACTTTATTTCACTGATGTATATTAGCAGGAACCATAACTTTATGCTGCGTGTGTTTGAGGGCGTTCCCAAAACAATCAACAGAGCGGTTACTTTGCCTATTCAATTTAAATGTACAGTTACAGTTGTGTAATATTATGAAGTCTTCCTCGGCCTGATTTGCTGTGACAGTGCTGTTTCTCTTTGTAGCATGGCAGGCTGTGGAGAAGTGGACTGTTCAGTGAATTCCCTGGCTCCCTCCAAGCTGATAGAGGAAGTAGGAGACACTACAGACTCTTCCAGTTCCACCACCATAACCCCGGAGTGTGCCATCTGCCTCCAGAGCTGTATCCACCCGGTACGCCTCCCGTGCTTCCACGTTTTCTGTTTCCTGTGTGTGAAAGGTGCTTCCTGGCAGAGCAAGCGCTGTGCTCTCTGCCGACAAGAAGTCCCAGAGGACTTCCTGGAGCGGCCGGTCCTCCTGTCGCCCGAAGAGCTGAAAGCGGCGGCTGCAGGGGTGAGCCTAAGTGGAGCGACCGGTAGTGGTTCCCGGCGAGACTATGCATGGTACTATGAGGGGCGCAACGGCTGGTGGCAGTATGATGAGAGGACCAACCGTGAGCTGGAGGAGTCCTTTGCTAAGGACAAGAAGAGCACAGAGATGCTGATTGCTGGGTTTCTGTACGTGGCCGACCTGGAGAACATGGTGCAATATCGGCGAAATGAGCATGGCCGCAGACGCAAGATAAAGCGGGACATTGTAGATATCCCCAAGAAGGGCGTTGCGGGACTGAGGTTAGACCCCGAACCTGTCCCCATTCTTTCTGTGCCAGTTGTCACCCCAGCTGCAACAGAGCGCGTCAGTTCAGCGGATGGATCGGACACTGATGGCCAATCACAAACTTCATTCTTTGGGATTATGGCATCTCTTCCCCCTGTTAGACCTCCAACACTCCTGGGGCACCATCTTACCAGTCCCCTTCCTCCCACGCCATCAAGCGTGGAAGAGTCCTTCTCCCAGCTCCTAATCAGCCAGCCAGGCGATGAAGAGGTGGAAGGAGACGATGAGCTACAGACGTACGAGTATGCGTCCGGCAGCGGTGAAAGTGAGGAGGAGGAAAGGGAGTGCGAGAGAGGGGGAGCAGAATCGATGCGGAGACACAGGCAAAGACCGTTAACAGAGAGCCAGCCGGCCAGGATGCCTCCGAGGGGCGGGCCTTCCAGCTCCGCTCTCAGTCTCCGCTCACGGAGTCCTGATGGACAGTGCACTGTTACAGAAGTGTGACTGGGCAACGGTGCTCAACCTTTCATCAGGTTGACAAAAAAAAATATTATGCATCCTTAAAGGTCCCGTGAAATGGAATAATACTGTTTATTGTGTTGTTTGTGTCACTGGGTGTATTTTACCGCATCCATCATGTGCCAAATATGATCCTAAAATGTATCTTACTTATTTTTGTATCAAAATATTCAAGGGTCTTCATCCAATTGAATGTAATGTTAGTTTTGTATGGGATCCGGTAAACCTGCAGGTCTACAAAGGTAACCAGCAGTACTGCTGTGTGCTTGGATGTTATAACTGACTGCTCTCTCCACCCTTAACATATAATTACTTAACACCTGGGATAAACTAATGTTTGTTTTCTTTCACCCAATATTGTGCTTCATGCAGAAATGCTGAAATGGTTACAACCAGGGACACAGCATTCAGAGAATATTTAAGGTGGAATCTTTGAAATTATGTCTGGAAATCTCCTGACACTTTGCAACCCCAGTTACAACGTTAAAGCCATTTCAAGGGACCTTTAACACATTAATTTAAGCCTTTTTTTTTTTTTTAAGACTTAAAAAGTCAGTTTCAGCCAGCAATACACTGTAATGGTAGTCATGCATCGCCCTCAGCAACAGGTGAAGCATAACAGACTTGTTTTTCAGGCCAAAAAACTTTGGCAACTTCTTGGTCAATGTTGTCCATCAAAAACTACCATCTGTCACTGTGACATAGCGATACAACTGCTTTTGAAAGGAAACCACACCCTCTTTGTTCTCATCTTTTGAGCTCATTTTCAACGTTGCTCAACTTAATTGTAGCAGCTTTATGTAAATGTTACAGAGAGATAAAAGCTCACATTTTCCTGCTTGCTGATTAGGTTTTTTTCGATGTTGAAAAGTTTGCATCAGGATCTAATTAATAATATTTAAACTGGAGTTTGTGTGTGTGTGTTTAAAGGGAGGAGGGACTGCTTTCCCTCTATTTCAGTGTGGACGTCTTGTTTTAATAACGGCGTGTGTTCGTGTTGTTGTGAGTGGAGTTGGGTGCTGAAAAGCTACTGGCAAAACCACTGGAAAGTATCGAGTTATATATGTAGAGCGACTCATTTGGATTTCTATTTCTTGTCCTAGTACTCTCGATACTATCAGAGCATTGACGTGTACTTGGACCATCTCAAGCTGTCCTCACATGCTCTGTTTGTTCCTGCTATTATTTTAACTGTCAACTTTTCGCTGTTGGTGTCTCACCATCTGAATTACCCAAACAAACCTGTGTGTGGCGTTGTCCTTGTATTTTTGTCAACTTATTAAATGTCTATAATTTAAAATCATATGTTGGATTGTTTTTGTTTTTAATGGAGGAATACTCGGCATAGGCCTGTTTGAAATGTGTCGTCTGCATGTAGTGACCGTCAGAGCCCACAGGATGGAGCTGTTTCACAGATTAAGCAGCTTTTGACTCCACCTGTGGTTTGAAACCCTTTCCTTGGTTGAAAACAATAACATTTTTCTCAGTCCTCTCCCTACATAATACCATGGTTGTTTTTACAGCATTGTGGTGTTGGTCTTGTCTGATACATGCTAACAGGGTCTGTGGGACCAAGATTACTTGCATTTACTGGTGCTAGTTCCACATGGTCCTCTGAATATACAGGTTTGTGGGAAACCGAGTCAGTTGCCACTAATGCAGCCGAGCGGCAGTGTTTGCCAACTGAAGGAAACCACAGGCTCAGTGTGTGCAGATGGGCCGTGACTAGAATTAGAAGAGTTGTCTTAATGAGCCAGACTTTCACAGAACTGTTCTCTGTTACTTCAGTGACCAGGATGGGGACTTTTTTAACTGAAGATGTGGTTTCTGCTTTGGGTATAATTTACATCTGCAGCTTATAAAATATGCTCAGCCTCCTTCATAAAAATCACATCCATCGTTACTTCACATTTAAATTCATGTCTTCATGTCCTCGTGGCAGGGTTTGGTCAACACAGCTGTGGTGACATCATCAATTTATTTAAATTTATATCCAATTCTTGAGAAATCGGACATCATTTTTTGTGTTCAGTAGGGCTGCCCCCTCTTAGTCGATTGGATGTTATTAGATTAAAATCTCCTTTCTCTCGATTAGTTGTTTGTTTGTGCTCAAGACTTGTTTCTGAGAAACTTATCAGCACGTCTCTGGTAAACACAAAATTGTTTCTTTGTGGATATGTCGATTAAATCAACTGATATTTTAGTCAACAAAGGAGAGTGTAAGTCAATTCATATCTTAAGTCGAGGCCAACCCTAATGTTCAGTATGTACTGTATGTATTTCCTTTACTCAGGTGAAACATAGGGATTAGCAGCCACCATAAAAAATAATAACCAGCAATCTCTCTTCTCAGGATTAGACCGACATTAGTGTCCGTTGAACCAACTCGCTCCCATCACATTGATTTCAGTGGAGCAACGGACCGTAACACGCTCTACACAATGTACACACACACACACACACACACACACTTGTATTCAATGGTCAAGGAGACACAGACACACCTGTATTTTAGACTCTTTCATTGGCTGGAATAGAACAAGGTAGACCAGATGCAAACGATAAAAGGTACGTTGAAGCTGGAGTCAGAGTGGCTGATGGAACAACAGACACATTTGTGTAACTGCAACACGAAGTGCAGCTGTCACATCTTTCCCTTCTAATATACAGTTGTGTGTAAAAAGTGTTTGACCCCTTCCTGATTTCTTATTTTTTTGCATGTTTGTCACACTTAAATGTTTCAGATCATCAAACAAATTTAAATATTAGACAAAGATAACACAAGTAAACACAAAATGCAGTTTTTAAATGAAGGTTTTTATTATTAAGGGGGAAAAAAAATCCAAACCTACATGGCCCTGTGTAAAAAAGTGATTGCCCCCCCTGTTAAAACATAAATTAACTGTGGTTTATCACATCTTTGGAAAGCTGAGTTCAATTTCTCTAGCCACACCCAGGCCTGATTACTGCCACACCTGTTCTCAATCAAGAAATCACTTAAATAGGACCTGCCTGACAAAGTGAGGTAGACCAAAAGATCCTCAAAAGCTAGACATCATGCTGCGATCCAAAGAAATTCAGGAACAAATGAGAAACAAAGTAATTGAGATCTATCAGTCTGGAAAAGGTTACAAAGCCATTTCTAAAGCTTTGGGACTCCAGCGAACCACAGTGAGAGCCATTATCCACAAATGGCGAAAACATGGAACAGTGGTGAACCTTCCCAGGAGTGGCCGGCCGACCAAAATTACCCCAAGAGCGCAGCGACGACTCATCCAAGAGGTCACAAAAGACCCCAGAACAACATCCAAAGAACTGCAGGCCTCACTTGCCTCAATTAAAGGTCAGTGTTCATGACTCCACCATAAGAAAGAGACTGGGCAAAAATGGCCTGCATGGCAGAGTTCCAAGACGAAAACCACTGCTGAGCAAAAAGAACATAAAGGCTCGTCTCAGTTTTGCCAGAAAACATCTTGATGATCCCCAAGACTTTTGGGAAAATACTCTGTGGACTGACGAGACAAAAGTTGAACTTTTTGGAAGGTGTATGTCCCATTACATCTGGCGTAAAAGTAACACGGCATTTCAGAAAAGGAACATCATACCAACAGTAAAATATGGTGGTGGTAGTGTGATGGTCTGGGGCTGTTTTGCTGCTTCAGGACCTGGAAGACTTGCTGTGGTAAATGGAACCATGAATTCTGCTTTCTACCAAAAAATCCTGAAGGAGAATGTCCGGCCATCTGTTCGTGACCTCAAGCTGAAGCGCACTTGGGTTCTGCAGCAGGACAATGATCCAAAACACACCAGCAAGTCCACCTCTGAATGGCTTAAGAAAAACAAAATGAAGACTTTGGAGTGGCCTAGTCAAAGTCCCGACCTGAATCCGATTGAGATGCTGTGGCATGACCTTAAAAAGGCGGTTCATGCTCGAAAACCCTCCAATGTGGCTGAATTACAACAATTCTGCAAAGATGAGTGGGCCAAAATTCCTCTACAGCGCTGTAAAAGACTCATTGCCAGTTATCGCAAACGCTTGATTGCAGTTGGTGCTGCTAAGGGTGGCCCAACCAGTTATTAGGTTTAAGCGGCAATCACTTTTTCACACCGGGCCATGTAGGTTTGGATTATTTTTTCCCCTTAATAATAAAAACCTAAGTGTGACAAACATGCAAAAAAATAAGAAATCAGGAAGGGGGCAAACACTTTTTCACACAACTGTATGTAGAAACTCCAGAAGGTTGTTGACAAATGAAATATTTGGTGGTGACTGAAGGTCCTTTGTTGTGCTTACTGTGGCGGTAAGGTGCCAATGGGCCTGCTGATTAAATAGGAATAACTTGGACTCACTTATCATAAAAGCGGTCCGTCACACATTGACACTACACTCAGTCAAAATATCACACAAAACTATTTGTGGAAATATTTTCAAATATGCAACTCTTTAAGCTGTACTGTATCCAGGTACATGAAGAATAATGTCATGTGCAGCATTATGTGGGAGCATAACATTAGCTGACATGCTATGGAAACAGTCTGCATTTAGATTGAACATGTATACAGCGGCGTCTGTCAATGCAGTTAAAAGAAGACAGAAGTTGAGCGTGACGTCTCTTCACCCAGCCGAACACACAGACGCAGAGACAGACGGACGGGAGACGCACTACTATATGTTTTCACGCACATGGTTGCCCTTTACCTCCCTCACATGTACCGTCATATCCTGGTGAAATTCATCCCTCTTCACACCACAGAAAATACTGTCTCCAATCCCTCCGCAAATAGTCCCGTCTTTCGCCACCCCGAGGCCCACAGTGGACCATTGTTGTTGTGTGGATTATTTTCAACCTTGTTTTTATCGAACAAAGTTGACTGTCCAGTGAGAGTTGTTCTTTGTGTAAGAAACAGCAGAAATTGTGCATGCATGTTGATAGCTACATATTCGGCATCTTTGTCAGTTTAATCGAGCAGTTAGAACTTTTAGCGTCTGTCTGTGCACGTTGCGTCTGTAGATTTATGTTCATTATGT